GTAACAAAAAAAAATAAAATTAAAAGACAATTATATGCTGAGAAGGACATATGCGTCATGTGTGGTGAGGCTGGCCGAGACAACGAAATGTGGTTTCGTTGCAGAAATTGTGCCAAGTGGGCTCACGAGCTCTGCACGAGTGTTTCTAGTGCAGTTGATTACATTTGCGAATTTTGCATACATGAATAATCTTATTATTTCAATTTTTGTTTCAATTAAAAATACTTCAAATGTGTTTATTTCCATGAATTTGTTGCTATTCTTTAATGGTCCATTTGGTACTTTACCCGGTCCATCCAGTACACCGCTATTGTACCGAATGGACCACCAAAAAAATTGGAACAACCCACCTTAAAAATTAAATTATAAAAAAATTACGTTATTTGGAAATATTAAAAAAATACCGTCAACTGTGCAAGATAATGACAAATCAAGATCAGTTATTAAAATAGCGATAGCTGATTTTGTTGAGCAAAGAAAAAATATTTAGTGAGCGACAAAAAAAAGCGGTCCATTCGGCCCCCGTCTCCCCTATGGGAGTATTTTGTTTTTGATGAAGAGATAAAGAAAAGTAAATGTGTTGTATTAGATGAAAAGGGTGAAGAATGTGGATTTTTGTTGGCAGGTAAAAACACCAGCAATTTGAAGTTACATTTAAAATCAAAACATGCTCCAGTCTCTAATTTTGTTGAGTCAGTTGACAGAGAAAAGCAACAAATTAAAACGCCTGCATCTCAAGAACAAAGTAAGTAGTATTTGTATAATTTAATAGTTTTGGTTGTAAATTTTGTGAAATAAAATAAATAAAATATAACATAACATAAACAATTTAATTAATAAACTTTCATGTCATTCCTATTATAAAAATTCTATATGTCATTCCAAATAGAGGGCAAATCTTGTGTTACTGTTAGTAATGCCAAACATGAGAAAAACAACATCAAGTCCTTTTTTTCAAATATGAGTCAATGGTCAGGAAAAGAGCATGACAAACGTGTTGAAGCAGTTATGAAAATGGTTATCGGAACTGGATCTCCAATAACAATTGTGGATCATCCAACTTTTAGGCAAATGTTTCACATTTCAGATCCAAAATTTAAACTTCCAGGTTGATTATTCATTTTGTTTTGCATTCATTACGCCATTCTTTATACATCGATATAGACATAATTTTAAACAATCAGTTTCAGGAACACTGGTTAAGTTGCTAAACAGTACTTGGTCAAACTCTAAGAAAAAAATTAAGGCAATGTTGTCGACTAGTCGAAAAATCACGATATGCCTTGATGCTTGGACGAAAAAGGGATTATCGTGTTCTTACCTAGGAATTTCAGCGTGTTTCTTTGACCCAGGCGCCAAAATGGTAAGACATTTAACATTGCATTTGACACCTCTTTCTCATCCTCACAGCGGAGAACAGTTGGCTCAGGTTTTAAGCTCTTGTTTAAAAAATTGGGATATTAGTCCACAAAAAATACTTATGATTGTATCAGATAATGGCTCAAACATGATCAAGGCAGTGAAAATATTGAAAGAGAAACAAGAACAAAAAAATCAAAGGGATGTTGGAAATGAACGAAGTGACTCTTCATCATCTGAAACATCTAGTGATGAAGATAGTGAGGTAGAATTGGATTTAACTCTGCCAATATCAGCAGAAACACTTTTCAGGCGTATGGCCTGCATGTCACATACGCTCCAGCTGATAATAAAAAAAGGTTACAACAAATACAACGAACTCATTGGTAAGGCAAGTCACATAGTGACAAAAATACGGAAATCAACGAAGGCAACTGAGATGCTAATTTCGAGATGTGGAAAGACAGTGGTTGCTGACAACAATACCAGATGGAATAGCACTCTTAGAATGATTAAGAGATTGCTAGAAATACGAACAGCAACAACTGAGGTATTAACTTCCATAGGGGTTGATTCATTGTTGGTTGACGAGTGGGCAAAATTGGAATATGTTAAATCGATCAAGTTTGATAGTATCGACAATATTTTCAATTTTTGGACATCACGAGAAACTGAATATAGTTTACTTGCACCAGTTGCGTTAGATTTATTATCTGCACCTGCTTCACAAGCTTACGTTGAGAGGATTTTTTCGGTTTGTCAGATGCTTACATCTGGAAAAAGGAACAAATTGGGAACAATGTTAGCCACAAGAGTGTATTTAAAACTAAATATGCCATTAATTGAACAATTTACTTGAATTTTTAATGATTTTTATTTTTATGTCCTTGTTTTTAATGTGTTTTTGGAAATAAATAAAGTACCGAATTATAACCATGAATGATTAAAAAATTAAGTAAAAGTAAAATGTAAGTATAAGTAGAAAGAATTACTCTAAAATTAAGTATAAGTATAAGTAAAAAGAATTCCAAAACTAAAAGTAAAACTTGAGTAAAATGATTTTTGTGTAAGTAAAACTAAAGTTTAAGTAGAATGAATTTTGCAAGTTAAATATCACTGCTTGTAAGTAGCAGAACGCTCGTACTAACAAATTGGTGACCCCGACGTGATTCTTCTGACGTAATCAGAGACTTCTCCGTAATAAATTTTCAATTTTTAACACGGCGGAATCCGGATTAAATAATATCGACATGATATCCATCAAGTTGCCCACCTTTATGGATAAAGCATCGACAAGATGGTTTGCCATTGCTGAAACTCAATTTCATCACCGAAAAGTTAGTTCATAGGAAACAAAATTTTATCATATCCTATCATCGCTACCGGCAGATTTGGTTGCAAAATTACCACAACACTTGTTTCATGATAGAAATTGTGACGACCTCAAAACAGCGATGATACCGATTTACGAAAGAACAAAACCAGAATTGTTCGCTCGCTTGATCGGAAATACTAAAATGACCGGCAGGCCATCACACTTTTTATAAGAATTATTAGAAACAGCCAGTTAAATTAGAGTGGAAGACGAACTCGTACGTTATTTGTTTATAAAAGCTCTTCCAACAACAATTTCTCCAGTCATCGCAACAAAATTGATCCGTGCAGATAGAATAAAAGAGTTGATATCAAGGCATACACTGGCATTTATTTTGTCACAGATACAATCGACACGAGAAAACGAACACAAAATGTATAGGAATAATAACAACAAAACAGTTTCATTCAGACATGTTTCTCTTGCGGAAAGATCGGTAAAAAAGCACTGTACCTGTACGTAGAAAAGTAGAAATACACCTTTCGTACACACTTTGTTTTAATTTAATAAAATTATTTCTACTCATCTTAAATTGTTCAATTGATAATTCAACAAACGTTAATAAATCACACATACTCCAACATAACTATAATTATATAATAACTAGAAATAAAAATAACACTATTCAACTACTTCTACCTTTTCGCTATTTAAAATTAACATAAGATCTATTAATAAAAATCACTTTATATTCAGCAATTATTCCCTTCCTTTTTACCTGATTTTTTTGTCTTACTGAAACTTGGCACGAGGACTCTTATTCTCGCTACTCCTGACGGTTACAGCTTTCTTGAACTCTCTAGAATCCCAAAAGATCCTCTCTTCTTCTTATTTTTCTTATGGGGATGTCTATCCATTCTAATATTTTCCATTTACTGTTTCAATCAATACTTCTTTTAATTTTTCTTCTTTTGAATGTCTTGTATCTCTCAAATCTTCTTCTCTATCTTTTTATATTGCTGTAATCTATCGACCTTCTTCTTTCTTATTCCTCTATATTCTTAGATGAATTTTACTTGCTCGCTGAATCTGTTTACCCTTTTTCTATTTCTTTCTATATCTCTAGTGACTTCAATTTAATCCACAATTATTTATCTTGCACTTTTACTCAATACTGTCCTTTTCCTACTCATACTTTTGGTAACACTATGATTTTATTATAGCTTCATCTTTTTCTAAGCCTATTAATATTTAGGCCTATCATTATTCTGATCAACTCCTTATTAAATCTGTATTTTCTTTAGATTTTCTTTCCTCTAACTCATCTATGTCTGTTTCAAAAAGATGCTGGTCTATTCTCAATAAAGATATTTTTCTTCAACCTTTTGCAGAAACTATTTTTGATACTTTTGTAGGAGATTAGATATATACAGTTATTTTAAACATCTAACATTTTTAATTAGTTTTATTATTAATATTAATATCTATGTTTTAATTTAATTGATACTAATACTTCTTTGCTTTACTTTTCCTTTTCCCTTTTTACGTTAGTACGAGATCGTTACGTTTGTTTGATTAACAAATAAGATTGTTTTATTTTGTCCGATTTATAATCTGACAACAAAAGCGAAATAATATTAAATCGAACATTCCCCTCGACAAATTGGTTAAGCCCGACGTGATTTGAACAACGAAAATCCGACGTGATTCGAACGAAGAAAATCCGACGATGACCCGATCGCCATATTACCTCTTTTCAAGAAAACAGCGTCAACAGACGGTTCGAGATTCACGTTAGAAAAAAGTTAATATTTTATTACGCCTGAATTGTGTTCGTTTCATTTAGTAGGAGATTGGATATAATGTTGATGATTTTGTCTATGCTTTAAATATCTATATTTGTTCTATCCTTAATAAGCTTCTATTGTTATTCCTATTCTTAAAACACATCTTTAGATCCTTCCTCTTTATCTAATTATAGACTTGTTACTAATATCTCTAAAATAATAGATAAAGTAGTTTATAATCAATTATCATTTATTACTATCCATGATAAGCTTATTCTTCTTAAATCTTTACTTATACGCTCTATTCTCATAAGGCTCTTTGGTTCGACTAAGCTTGTGTATTAGCTAAGAAAAGTGTTAGAAGACTGGAGAAAGCCCATAGGTTAAATACATCTAACTCTACCTCTATCTAATTATAGACCTGTTACTAATATTACTTTCATCTCTAAAATAATAGAAAAAGTAGTTTTTAATCAATTGTCATCTTATTTAAACTCTAACTCCTTGCTACCTGTATCTCAATCTGATTTCAGACCTGCTCACAGTACTGAAACTTCTTTACTCAAAATACATATCTTTCTCTAGTGATAATAGTAATCTTACTCTTCTTCTTGCTCTTGACTTTTCCTCTGATTTTGATACTGTTGATCATATTATTCTCTTGAGGCTGCTAGATCTTTTCATATTACTGATTCTTGTCTATCTTGGTTTATTCTTATCTTGTTTTTTAGGCTATGTTTTTAGCTTCTTGGTTTTGCTCTGGTTTTATTTTTAGCTGTTGGTTATAGTGTCGCTTGGATCTCTGATAGTTTGCTTGATAGTTATAACGTTTGAACACAGCACGGAGAGTGTCGCCTTCCTAGACGTAACAATCTATAAAAACATGAACACATCCCCATTCCTCCTCACCAAACCACACTTCAAAAAACAAACACATTCGATTTGCTACACCATCAGTCATTCCACCCACCTCACATCTTCAGATCAATCGTTCATTCACAATTTATCATGTACGCTATTGATTTTGTTAGGCCGAATAGTCTCGTGCGTCTCAACTTCCGGAACCGTTTGGTACCGCTAAAGAACCGGTTCCAGGTACCGTCGGTTCCTGCGGGAGGGGGTTCCAAGTACCGGTACAGTACCGTTTTAAATTTTTAATGGGTTCCAAGAACCGGTACTAAACAGTTTGAGGGTACCTAGGAATCGGGACCGCGGTACCGGTACTTTTACTGGTACCGTACATCACTTGGTGACAAAGAAGATGAATTGTCAGGAACATCAAATGAGACAAAAGATAAAGTTGTTGACAAAGAAATCCAGTATTCACACTAAAAGTCAACAAAATTTTAAGGGCGAGATTTGGAACCGATTTTATCGCATATTTTATAAAAATAGTGCAACGGCATATGTCTGTTGCAAAAAATGCAAACTAAAATATATCCTTAAGCAAGACAGGACCACCAAGACATCCAGTATGAAGAGTCATAAGTGTCTCGTGGGTTGTAACCAACTGTCAATAATTAACTTCGTTAAGGTTTATAATTTATATTTTATCATTATTTTTATTTTTTTTTGCTATCTAAATCAGTTACGAAACAGTTTTGTAAATTTTTATATATATATTAATTTGTTTTTTGTTAGGTTGTTGATATGTATGTCTATGTAATCATCTCCTTTTGGCTTACATGTCGTTTCATTTTTTTAGTTTTTTGAAATTTCATTTTATAACAAAAAGGAAAATAATGATAAAGATAGTATAAAACTGCCATCAAACATCAAAGAATTAACTTGTGTTATTGCTAAGAAGTGCTGCCTTAACTTGAGACCTTTCAATATCGTTAATGATGAAGGGTTGAAAAAAGTTGCTACAAGGCTTCTCAACCTTGGCCATAAATATGGCGTCCACATTCATTGGACAATATTCTGCAGCAGCAACCATTTCAACTTATGTTGAAAAATGTTCTGGCAACATAAACGACAAATTAAAACAAAGAATTAAAAAGGTAAAATATTATTTAATTCAAAGTTGAAGATTTTTTTAATGTAATAAAATTTCATAAGCATCCTGGTCTGAAATCATTTACCTCTGACCATTGGAAGTGTGCCATCACAAATACTGACTTTATGGATTAAATTTATGTATGAATGTATTTTAAATATTATTTTGCAAAAAACAAATAGTATTTAACTGTTGAATATTTTAAAATTAGCCATAGGCTTAAGCATGTGTTCTTTATAAAGGACATCTAGCAGAATATGATACCCTGAGATTCACTTAGTTATCACATTAAAAATGTTTTTTTTCAATAGTGTAAATACAATAAACCCTATCAATGAATTATTATAAGTTTGTATGAACATAATAATAAATTTAGTATCTATTGTAAAGATATTCAAGCTAATAAAATAATTTTTTTTAGATTTTTTCATGAAAATTCTTCTAAGAAGTATTCTCTGCAAGATGTTTTAACCATGATTGAAGATGATGACAGCATCATTGAAGCTGACATTTTTATCAGTCCTCCTTCTGATGGAATAAATTCAGATGAAGATGATGTATTGGATGAAATACATGATCAAGGATCATTCAATGATCTACCTGCACGACAATTACTGGTAAGTGTTAGCAAGAAAATATTCAAGTACATCGAGGCACAAAGACATAAGAACTGGGCGGATGACAGTGCTACTACAGTTAGACATAACCTTGAAAGAATAACTGATAGGATCAATCCACCAAGGAAAGGTTGAAATATTAGAAAGAAGATAAAAGATATAACCGAACAGACGTATACCCAGATACGATCCACTATGACGGAGCTTTTGAAACTCGTCACAAGGAAAATGGACGATGACATGATATTCACAGCGGATAAATTACTGAAATCAGTCCTTTTCCGAAAAAACAAACAAGCGAGAGAAAAAAGGAGTAAGGACCTCTTCACCTTACAAAAAAGAAGAAACTCCAAAAAAATTAAATTGTCTGAGGAAGAAGATGCCACTCCATGTGGATATTGTAGAAAATTATTTAGCGACCCGAACAACAAAACAGATTGGATAAAATGTTGTCAATGCTACGTTTGGATGCATGAAACATGTGCTGAACAATCGGGTGTGCTTGATGATTTAAAATTTTTGTGTGAAAAATGTTGCAATTAATTTTATTTTTTTCTTAAATATAAATAGGGTTTATCTTATTTCAGACATTTTATTGTAACAAAATATCATATTGAACAATTTTTTAACAACTGTCCCATCTTACGGCGTGATATGCCTAAGATGGGACGATTTAGAGACTTTTTTGGGACTTAAATTTTTTAAACGTTTGTTATTTTGAAATAAAATAAAAATATTTCGCAAAATAGTTGTTCAAAATTTTTAAATATTCATGGCTTCCATATAATCTCAGTTAAGCTCTTAAGTGTCCCATCTTATGGCATCTTCTCCTATGTTAGAAGCAGTAGTGACTTGATCAACAATTTGGCAATAACGACCGCAAAAACAGAAATTATGATGATGAAAATTATGAAGATTGCTATGGTAGAAATAGCAACAGGAACAGAACAAAATCAAACACTATGCACTCAACTCATCATTATTCAACGACTTAAAGGATAGCAGTTTTAAACTCATTAACAAGCTTAAACATAAAGGATATAACTACTAGAAACTATCAATACAAAATATTATCACCAAAATCCAACATCAACCATCAGAACAATGGAAATATAATCTCCTGCACCACCCATGACAACGCCATAACATCTACAATATATTCATCAACAATATTCTCCATTATGAAAAAAGTGTATTTTGCAATAAATTAAAAATTATTAAAAATTACCATGAAAATTAAAAACAGCAAATTTTTAACGATCCGTTCACGATATTTGTCAAATATTAGTAATAGTTAACTTTTGTCTTTGGTAATAAAAAAATTAATGAGTAGATCGTTGTTTGCAGTTCCGGTGTTTCCTTTTTGATGACGGTTGTGTTGCGTAGTGACGAAATAAATATATCTGATTCGATCAAAATTCAATTTTTATTAATTCGCAGGTAGTTTAAATCGTTTTTAAATTACTTTTTCAATTCATAAATTTGTCTTTAAAATAACCATAAGAAATATTTTTATAATGTTTTTGCTTAAATATTTTTAATTGGAACTGTCCGTGAAGAAAGAATGTCACGTTTTTTCTGTAAAATCGCAAAGTGAAGTAAGAAACATCATTTTAATCGGTGTTTTCAATGTAATCTCAAATAAATTTTATTTAGATTAAATTGAGATTATTCGAAGAATAACCGCGTAGCCACGATTTTTTTAAGTCACAAATAATTATTTTTCTTCCAATGATATTTCTTCCTTTTACTTTACGGATCTTAAAATTTGAACAGCTAGACCGAAGTTACAAAATTTAATAAAACTCATATTTTCTCACTTTTCTATATTAATTTATGCAATAATTATTATTATTGTTCAAGAGACATGGAAGAAAACAAAAAAAGAAAAGGCGATAACTGTGGGAGCAACATGATATACTGGAAAAAATGGTGTGATCGAGTAGCTACTACTATTGAAATACCTTCAACATCAACTGTAGCAACAGATCATATTTCACCATCAAAGTCTGTTATAGAAGCAGAATCTGTTTCTGATTCTAAAGACGAGTTGTATTTGCGTTGGTTTCGTTGTTATGTTTAACTCTGAATTTGAAATTTAATAATAGTTGACTGGCATTTGATTTTTGCTGCGAAGAGTTAGGTCACATATTAAAATTTAGATTAAATAAAAATAAAATATGAGTTAAGTTTACATGAAAGAACTTTAATATAGAAACGAAATTATTCTTCGTTTTTCCTTTTGCTTTTCCTCTTTCAATGTTCAATTGCCTTTATTTATAATTTTCATTAATAGTTCGATTTTAATAATTTTAGGTACAACAGTTTGGACGGATCAATGGGCTGCTTATAACAGTGTAACAACTTTAACCGGTCTAGCCCACCAAAACGTAAATCACTCCATTACATTTCACACACATGGAGTGGAGAATTTGTAGCGATGCGCCAAACACAGGGCCGTTTTAAGGTCGTCGTAGGCCCTAGGCACTTTTGCGTATCTGCATTTGTAGACTTGTAGTAGGCCTCAAATTGATTAAAATTTAAATTCTGCACTATTACGATGTGTAGTTAATTGTAAACATGTTTACAGCATTTTTTGACTACATTGTTTTGTTGTGAACCCTTTTTTTTAATTATGAACGCACCCTTAGAGGTTTTGATATTTTTAATCTCAATTCACTTTGTATAGCTTGATTTAATAACTAATTATTTTTCGGTTCCTGTTATCCGTCAACCACGTCTATGTAAATAAAAGTGCATAATAATTTTTATTGTTTACCAATTAGTAATATTTAATTAGTATTGGCAATTAAAAACAATTTTAATTTTAGAAATCATGTCTGATGGATACGTGTCTGGATCTGACAAACAAAAGAAAAAGGACGAGAAAGAAGAAGCATTAAAAAAGATGAAGGGTTCCATACTAAAATATATAAATAATGATGATAAGCCCAACAATGACACAACTGAAATGCAATGGAAGGATTACTTTGCATGAGAAATCTAAAGACCATATTGCTGCTCTGTTAATGATGCTACTACGTCAGAAGTCAACTAGAATTGATGCAGAACTCAATAAAGAAAATGAGAAATTGTTTAAATACTGGACTGAAGTTTTGAAAAGAATCACTGCAGTTATAAAATTTCTTGCTGAAAGAGGATTAGCTTTTCATGGTGAAAGTGAATTGCATAACTGCCATAACAATAGAAATTATCTAGGCTGCATTGACTTTTTAGCTGAATTTGATCCATTCTTAATGGAACACATTCGAAAATATGGAAACCCAAGAAAGGGAATTATACTATATGTCTTCAACTATATGTGATGACTTCTGTTCTACAAAGTCTATCAGAAACAAGATGGTCAGCACGTAGTGATGCTACAAAAGCTTTTTATGTAAACTATTTGGAGATATTACTGAAAATGAATGCCAACCACCAGCTGCTGTCCATGAAGCTAAATCGTTAATAAAAAATTTAGGCCATTATGAGAATGCGCTAATGTGTGTGATTTGGAAAGATTTACTTCAGCAAATTGATATTAGCCAATAAAGCTTTGCAGCAGTCTGGCATAGATTTGTGCACTATCATCAAATTGTATGACAGTCTCACAAAACAATTTTATGAAACACGTTCAAAGCGTTCAAAAGTATGGTAAAAAAGTCTTAAAAAATCCTATTACAAAAAATGTATAAAGCGCAAACATGTGCAAAAAAGAATCCATGACAAAGTTATGGAGGAGGATAATACTGATACGAGTTCAAATTTGAATGCCAGTTACAATTTCCATATTCAGTTTTTCTATGTGATCATAGACACTTATAATTGAGATGGAAAACGGCAAGCAGCTTAAGCAGGATTACATTACAGGTTCAGTTTTCTTCTTGACAGATCTTTTTCAAGTGATGAAATAGTTTCTAAGGCAAATGAATTAATTAACATATATTCATCAGATCTGGAAGAGGCATTTGCTGATGAGTTTCTTTTGTTTTCCAGAATGTTTGTCAACACAAAATCTGTTGCCAAAATGTTAAAGGCCCAAATAAAGAATAAGATGGTTACATGTTTTCCAAATGTAGATATTGCTTTTTGAATTTATCTGTCAATTTGTGGCACAAGTTGTGAAGGTGAACGATCTTTTTCAAAACTGAAACTCATAAAAAATTATCTGCGGCCAACGATGTGACAAGAACGATTGTCTCTTCTTGGACTTTTATCAATTGAAAACGATTTAATGCAGGAAATGTTATTTGAAGATGTTTTTTGTGATTTTGCTCGCACAAAGAGCCGCAAAGTTTATAAAATTTAGTCTATAATTTAGTCTACTATGTATAACAACTTAACCAAAACTGTTTCTAATTATAAAAGTTACTGATTTTGAATTTTGGTTTTTTGTCTTCATTTCTCTATTTTTAATCATCCAATTTTAAAAAATCATAACAAAAATTACAAATAGTTCTCATGTTTATAAACATATTTTAAAAATAAAAAATAATGATATTAGAATTTATTTTAAAATTTATTTAAAATTTTAAAAAAATTAAATTTAAAATTAATTAAAATAATAATTAAAATTTAAAATTATAAAAAATGAAACGATTCGGTTAAAAAATTCACAAATTAAAAAAATGAAGCACTTCGGTTGGTCATGAGTGTTAATGAAGGGCGGAGCCAAATTTAAATTTTTCAATATTATTCTATGTAAACAACAGAAGCTTCGGTTCCTATTAGTTTACCTAAAGAATATCCAACAAAAAGGAAACAGCAACTGTTCTAATGACGTAAACTTACTTTTGAAAAAGTTTTTATCAATGCAGAATCAACTCATAATTTCATGGGTTTTACCCAAAGAAACAGCCAAAAACTGTGTTGAGACAGATTGTGATTGCATAGCAGCATAGCTTCAATTGATGATGTTTAATTAATATTAATTTAATTAAACTAAGAAATAGTTGATCTAAGCCTTAGATTCTAAGGTGAACAGATGACTGTGCTAATATGTCCACCTTGAAGCAATATTCTTCGAAACATGGACAAAATTAAAAAATAAGATGTTGTCGATTGAACTAGGAAAACTGTGCTTAATTTATGTGTGGTAACCAAGGTCCATGCCATGCCATCTTATTACTTAGTCCGTGTTAATAACTATGATTTGATATCAGATATATAATTTATAATATGTGATAGCAATAATAATTAGCAACTATTGAATGAATAAAGACAAACATGCCCAAAAATATTATTTAATAAGAACAATAATTACTCACCACAGTCAAGATTGATCGGTAGAACTCCAACATCAACACACTAACATGAACGGAAAAAGGAAAAATGAAGCAAAGAAGTAGTAACATTAATCAAAATAAATTGAAACATAGATACTAAAATTAATTAAACCATATATATAAAATATAACAGGTGATCGATCTGTTATATTCTATATATATAAATAAAACCTAATAAATAAATAGCTCATAACTAATAATATGGATAAAAATATTTAGTCCCTCTCTTATATACATATAGAATATACTATATATATATATATATATATATATATATATATATATATATTTATATATATACGGTCATAGTGGTCGTTTCATCGTCGTCGAGATGGTTTACGGTTTTTAGACTGTCGCTGTGAACATTTTTTTAAAAGCTTGCGAATCTTTTTAAAAACTCCAACTTTCGTACAAAAAATAATCTGTTTATATTTCACTCAAATGTATAAGATGCTTATACTAAATAGTTTTACGTTGGACTTATACATTTTAAACAATTCAATTTGTATAAAAATCAATTAAAACAAGATTATTAATTATTTTTTTCGTCAAAATATTTTTCCACCTCCTACTCATTTTAATCAGTTTTTTTGGTTTTCGTGCATTCCGTACTGGTGTGTATTGAAATTTCGATAGTGATTTGACATGAAAACTCAGCTCCAAGCGGAGAAAATTTCTCCAAACCGCTACCGCCCGCATTCGCAGAGTTAACGTCCGCCCTGCTCATTTTCCGCATCGCAAGCTAAATCGGCCGTCTCAATCTCATGTTTAAAATTAGAAGATAGCAATACTAAAGAGCAATTTATTTAAAATTGATAATTATAATCAGTTTAATAGAGTTTGTAATATTGCTATATGCAGTTCATCTGGTATTTATGGTTTCTTTTTAACAATGGAACTCTAAGTTCCATTGTTTTTTTGAGAGTTTGTAATATTTTTATTAGGGTATAGAAAATAGAAACTTTGTAATAAACATCCGACAACAGGCTGTAACGATCTTACCAACAAAAAATTATTCACACAAAGAAAAAATGGAACTTAGAGTTCCTTTGTTGAAAATACTATAAATACCAGATGAACTACATATAACTATATCACAAACTCTATTACACTGATGATGGTAAAGGTTACCGAAAAACGCTTTTATGTAAATGTATATATGAAAAATGCAAATTAAAAAAATTAGAAGTTTTATTATAAATTTGAATAAATTGAATAATATCAAAAAAATAGTTTTTTAAAAAATTGAAAAACTTAGTTATAAACCCAACAATGCGGAAAATGCGGTGATATTTTTTAATAATTGTATATATGACAGTCTGAACCCATAAATTATGTTATATATATATTTATGAAGGTATACATATATCTATATGTATGTATATGTTACTATATATTATTGACAAAATACCTATATATATATATGTATGTATATATATAGATATGTATATATGTATGTATGTATATATATATATAGGTTACTATATATATATTGACAAAACATTATTAATAACGTTATTACTACATAAAAGCTCTTTTCGGCATCAACTGATCATCAGTGTAGTTATATCATCAAGATGATAATTCTCGTTAGAAAAATTGAGAAACTCAACCGCAAGTTGAATAATGCCGAAAACGCAGCGATCTTTATAAACAATTGTATACGTATGTGTGTATCGTATATGTATATGTGTATATATGTTAATAACATTTGTGTTTTGTGTCAAAGATAGATAAACGTACGTTTTATATAACACAAATTTACACATACATGTATGTGTGTTGTGTGTGTGTGTATGCTAGGGATGCACCGAAGTTCGGCCCCGGTCAAAATCCGGCTTTTTTTTCAAAATTTGGTGGCCGGATTTAGGGCCGAATTTAAGCGTCTATCTATTTTAAAAATGTTAGAAATAGAAAAAAAAATTTTATTGAATTCAATTAATTTTATGTCAATAAGTTAAAGGCTAAGGCTAAGCTAAAGGCATACATGACACATAATAACAACATCACTAATTGTGAGGTAATCTGGACAATTTTCTTTATGCTATAACATGGGTTATGCATAAATTATAAGCTGATCTTTGTGTAAAAGAACTTGTGCACGTGTGTATACTATATATTGATAATTGCACATGACGGATCATATAGCTACATAATATATATATATATATATATATATATATATATATATAAAGATATATATCTATAAATATATATATATATATTTAGAGAGAGAGAGAGATACATAAGCACATAATTTAAGAACATGGTATGTTAAAGTTTAGGCTAGGTATGCATGACAAATAATTACAACAACACTAATTGTGCGGTGAGCTGGACAATTTTCTTTGTGTGTGTGTGTGAGTGTGTGTGTGTGTGTGTGTGTGTGTGTGTGTGTGTGTGTGTGTGTGTGTGTGTATGGACGTGTATAACATTGAACTAACTTTATTTATTCAAACCTGCTGAAGTAATTAGTAGAAGCTGCTTGCTTGGCTTTATCAACGTGGACCCCAGAGAAACTCAGCTATGGTCATCAAACACACATACATACTCACCATGGATACCTTGTATGCTATTATCTAGAGTGCCATGATACTCACCAACGTACATATATACGAACAAACGAAAAAACAAATTTTTAAATTTTTGAAAATTAAAAATTCAATTTAGCGGGCGGATTTTAAATAACGCTCTTGAATCCGCATCCGCGGCAAACCGCTCAGGCAAAATCCGAAAACCGCAAATCTGCGGAATTTTGAGAATTTTTTATCAGCAATTGCGGTTATCCCCTTGGGGCTCTATTTTATAGGTCACACTTTAACACCAAATATGAACGTCGGTATAGTGCAAAAAACTATTTTTGTATCGTGTAGGCATAATATCCGAATTTGATCAAAACGAATCATTAATATTTACGAGAATTACACTCACACACACTATCACATTAACATTTACACATTTACACACAATGTATAAGTCCATTAACTTATGGAAAAAATATATATATATATATTTTTTCATTATTCATTAAAAATCAAGATAGGTAAGGTAGTAGTAAAAAATTAAACGAATAAGTAAATAAATAAATAAATAAACGGAGAAAGAGAAATGTTTAAAAATGAAAAATAACACAAAGTAGTAATGAAGTAATGGCATAAAAACGCAAATTAATAGACTAGATGAAGGATGACATGACTTAGCGAATTTGTGAGGTGATCGATAAATAAAAACTAGTTTTATTGAGTGTTAATATGTTTGAGGTGTCTTTTGATGAAAGTCTTTTCCTGATATGTAGATTGGGTGCCGACTTGATAGTTTTGATTGCGCTGACAAAGGTTGTGTGTTGTAGTTTTAATTGGTGGTAGTAGAGGATGGATGACGTGGTTGTTGTTATTTTCTGCTTTCTTGAACAGTCTTGAATCGAGTGTGTTGAATATCTGAGTGACAGTAGGATATGACGCAGGCAGATATTTGAAGCGGATTAGGTTTTTGATGAGAGATGGTAATTGCTGAAGTTGTTGTTTTATTGTGGTAACCGATGAACGCTCGTTACTACCGGCACCAATGCTATAACTTTAATGATCTTTGTATTTCATCAACACCAGTTTTGTAGCTTCCAAGCTTCCAACGATCGTCAAGTGTTCGTTATTCCGTAGGTTCAAGATTTCCGACAGATGAACACAACTGCTTCAAGCGCAAATTTTGTTGAACGTTTACTTGAATGCCAACAGTAATAGAAATAATAAACTTTTATTACTTCAAAGACCCAAATTATTATACATGATGTTGATTCTGTTAAGTTATAACATAGCCTCTGCTCTGGGCCTCGTTATTTGTTATATGGTGGCTAACCTATGCCTGCATTTAAATTATACATTTTAGGTTTTTGGTTCATTCGCCATCTTTGTTTATTTTGTTTTTCATTTCGAGATCCTGTTTTTCATGAGTTAGTTGGATGATGTCGGTTTCGGAGGAATTGATCCAACTGTTGGAAAATGTCGTTCCGGATTGTCGGAAGCAACTAAGAGACAGCCACACGAACTTGGAGAAGGTGGCTCTCTATTGCGAGGGAAATTATTTACAGGTACCCGGAAGTTGTGATACCTATTTTTTGTTCTGATTCATTTTGTTTTTTTTTTATACATTTTTAAAGTTTTCATTTTAAATGGATTAAAATAAAAATATGTAGTTTGATACTACGCTGAAATTAGATTGTAATAGAAGTTATTTTAAGTCACTATTGACTATTTAGTATTAAAACTAAATTTTAATATTAATTAATTCATGTAATACAAATACATACTGAATTAAGAATTAAGAAGCATGTAATCTGTTACATACTGATTATCTGTATGTAATTGGTAATGTAATGACGTTGATTTTGTTTGGATCATTACCAAATTTTAAATCAACAAATTAGAGTTCAGTTAGTGTTAGTCTAGTAAAGTTTAACTTTTTATTTTAGTTAAGACTTGAAAGAGCTAGCTAAGCTTGGTAATTGAGTTTCTATTAATCAATGAATGACTCCAAATTAGATTAAATATAAAAGAATTATTAATTCAAAGCTAGGTGCATGGTGTTTACCTACCTATACTTAGCTTTTGATTATTTTATCAAAACAACCTTATAACCCAAAATTTCTTCTTTGTCAGTTTCTACTGCCATCAATTATTAATATAACATAAACAACTGAACATTAGTCATAATGATAGATGAAATACATTGAGTTAAAGAAAATATTAGAGCTGAAAAAAGGCAATAATGTACTTTTTTGCCTACCATGTAATAATTATGAGATAAGTGTTGACTGAGAGTATAAATAAACTTAAAACTAAACTTAGATAAATAATAATTGAATTTCTGATGCTATGAATATGGATGTACCACTATTAAGAAAAAATTTTTAAGAAATGCAATTATCTGTTTATATATGAACGACGTACATGGATTGATAACTTTGTGTTGAAATGCTTACACAGTAGGCTTGAAAATATACTTTTATGTACTTTAAACTTTTGTAGGCATGAAATTGTATACATTCATGATGTAAAAAATATATGGAATTATTTTTTTTATGATTGGCATCTATATGGGTTATTATACTTTTAATGAAAGTACAATTTGTAATTTGTGTGAAAATTTACAGATTATGCAGATTAGGTCAGTTAATCAATTAATTTATTTTTTATTTTATTTGCTTTTTAATTTATTTGCTTTTTAGTTAATTTTATAAATTTATTATTTTTTAATAATCAATTTATTTGTCTCTTCAGGCAGCAGACAAAAGACAGGCCCTGGAAGAAACAAAAAACTACACAACACAATCATTAGCTAGCGTTGCATATCAAATCAACACATTAGCCACAAACTTCCTCCGACTTTTAGATTTACAAATGGGACAAATAACAGACATGGAGTCAAGCATCAACCATTTGTCACAAGTATAGTTAACTTTTTCCATTTGTAATCTTCTTATTTCTTTTTTGGAGTACGCATTTTCAGCACTGAAGCGAGTAGTTAAATTTTCAAATATTTTCAATAAAATGAGTTTTTCTAATAAAACGCTTTATGAGAAATTGACTAAAATGTATAAGCATGTGACATCTGCATTGGATCATGTAAATCATAATTAGTTTTGAACCTTGGATTAGTTTATTGTTTCTATGACTGTTGGCATTCAAATAAACGTTCAACAAAGTTTGCCTTTGAAGCAGTTGTGTTTATCTGTCGGAACTCTTGAACCTATGGAATAACAAACACTTGATGATCGTTGGAAGCTACAACACTGGTGTTGAAAATTTGGAGATCTTTGACAATTACGAGCATTAATGATTACAACAATATAAATATTGAGAATTTTATACTGTAAGTGTTTATTAGCTTAGTAATAAGAACATAATCTCAATCATCTTTTTGTTATAAGACTGGCTGAACATATGTCATTGGATGAACAATACTTGCTTTCATCAAGGAAGATTTCATTAAGTTGTTGATTTTTTTACTGATGTTCTTGCTATAAGAAATTATCATGCAATCAGATACTGAATATTAATTGGATTTCAATCAGTGTTTCTGGAAAGAAACGTTGCTAAGTTTATTCAGCTATTTGTCCAACAATTTTCAAATCTGTTGAACAGCTCGCTTAATCACAACACGAGCTTCATTATTTCATCATTTGTGTTTTCATTCACAAATCTCATTGATAATGCTCAACATTCAACTCTGCAACTTCATAATGACGTTGTTGGGAGATTCCATGAAACAATGTTCGTATCACAAACAACTTATCTTGCAATATTGTCTACTGGGGTAGTAATTCATTTGTTGACGGGATTGAAAAAGCTTTGTATCACCGTTTTCTTTGATGGTCAAGCTTTCTTGTTCATTCATTCATTTGTCAATTGTTGATTTTGTTCTGCACATGTTTCAATTTAAACATTTTTTACCGTTTGGACAATATGCAACTTATATGGCATGTATATTTCTGCCCTACAATACAGATAGTGATGATTCATAAGGAGAAGGTGGCCAGGCGAGAGATAGGAGAGTTGACAGCCAACAAGTCCGTGACTCGACCGGTGGGAGTGAAGAATCCCGGTATCATATTTCCAGAACAGCAAGAGCGACCTGTGAAGTACGTTCGCAAGCCCATCGACTACTCCATACTCGATAATGTTGGACATGGGGCTAAAGTAAGTCTCCTCTTTTTTGTATGTAGTATTTTTAATGATACAACAATTTTTATTGTGAGACTCTTTTTGGAAAGTCTTTTAAATTACAGTTGTGTTTTGTCATTTCATCAATTTTTTATTATTTACATCATAATTATCATTTATAATTCTTTTGTGGATCTAATGTTTGTAGAACTGTTTGGAGATGACTCCCTTATTTTGCATCGTACAACAGTCACCTACCTATTTATTCAGTGGCAGATTATTATTTGATGTTTGAATCTATGTATGTTTCATGTGTATTCTGCTCCATCCATTTTTTGCTCAATCGATCTTATTCTTGGATTCATCAATACATTTTTCAATAACCATCCGTTATTCAGTCAATCGTTTACATTTTAATCAAGTTACTCAATCATACACATTCAATCACAACCATTCATCCATCCATCCATCATTGAATCACTTAACAACATGCAGTCCACGGGACCCCACCTCCAAGCGGGAATGCGAACCAGCACCGTATCAGCAGGTAGCAAGTCACTGACTAATGCAGCAGCCACAGCAGGTGCGCCCACCACACGACCACCCACGCCACCCACGTCTGCAAACTATCCATCTGAAAGTCTCAGACGACCTGCCAACAGCCACCAATCCATCTTATCTCCCAATTCTACATCGTCTCCATATCGAACCACCGGCCCCCAACTTATCACTCATCAAAACAGTGGAAACTATGGGACGGGGAGCATGTACGGAGGCAGCATAGGCGGTAGTGGTGGGCAGTCTCCAGCTGTGATCGGGGGCATGGGTCAGCCTTCATTGACGGGTATGGGAGCAATGAGGTCTAGTGGTTATGCCCCCGGATCAGCTTCCATGATGCGACCCATTGGCAATCCACCTGGTCACATGATGCAGCAACAAACTCCTCCACCACAAATTGCCCAACAACAACAGCAGCAGCAGCAGTACATGCGAAACAGTGTACAGCAACAGCAGTTACAACAGCAACAGTATCCATCAGATCCTCCATTCATCAGTCATCCATACTCGGCCAACAGATATATCGGAGATTGTTAGTGATATTGTTCTCTCTTATTGGAAAGTTGTTTTGGTACTGTGTGTAAAATTATTTGAAGTTATATTATGCTGTTGTGTTTTTTTATAGATATGCCAAAATGATAATTAAAAAATTTATGTAATGAGCATTTTGTAGCAGGGTAGGGAAAATAATAATTGATAGCATTTATGCTCGTGAAATAATGAGTGTGACTGATTGTGCGGTGCATGTTGTTTACTTTTCATTTTACTTATATGCTTGGCTGCTTGTGTGCAAAACATTTCAAACATCTACCAACAAACATTTTATACATGTTGGTGACATTTAGTTAACAACACACGTTTAGACGACATTTTCCCCGAAATTGGGGGTTGCCTGGTGACATTTAGTTAGTCATACCAGTATTTAACAGTTTTTTATACATCCATACATTGGCTTTTGGATATCATTGTCGTTTTGATTTAATACCTACCTGCAAATTAATAATCATAACTCACATGATGATACTCTTCATGTTTAGTGTCACCCCCTCTGCCTCCCCCTCCGAATAGTCTGGTTGGGGTTCCTGGTTACCACGCGGATTACAATGGAGGCATGGATTATGGGGGTGTTGATCACTCCAGGATGAGTTATGGCAGCAGGGCTCCACTGGTGCAAAATGACTGGATTCCTCAGAGTTACATCGAGAAAGGTTATTGGTGCATTGTTTTTACTCTAGTCTACTGATATGTTCTTTATTTTTTCATTCTTTACGTTCATTGTCTTGATCACAAGCACTTCCATCGTTGACCTTGTAACTCCCACTGTTGTGGAAATTATAATGGCGTCTGATAATACATGCATGTGTATGGTGAATATGAAAGTTGTTATGGTGAAGGACAGAAAAGAGAGAGCAAGAGAGAGAGAGAGAGAGAGAGAGAGAGAGAGAGAGAGAGAGAGAGAGAGAGAGAGAGAGAGAGAGAGAGAAAGAGAGAGAATAAACTTTTAATTAAAATTTTGAACCAGTTAGTGAACCCTCTATAATGATGTTGATATTAGCAACCATAGCAATAATTGTATTGATAATGACCATGACGATTATAAATATTTTCTTCATTAATATATTGATATTCAAATCTCCAAACCTACATGATGATGTTGATCTTTCATTTTGTTAGATCTTTTAAATTATTTCTCATTTTTTCAGAAATAGTAATTTTGGTTGAGTAGCTAAGCTTTGGGGAAAACTTCTGTGTTGAATCGCATGTAAAATGAGGGATAATGTTTTATTGGAGAATATTTTTGTTAAACAGCTGCTAAATGTTCTATAGCATGCATAATACATTCGGTAGGGTGATTAACTCTCGATCGTTTCTTGTTAGAGAGTTGTGTTCTCTTTAAATTTAATTTTGATATATAAAATTATTGTAACAAGTTCTAAAAATAATATTAGAATGCATTTTATAATTAGCAGTATATCCTGGTTATGACATTAAACTGACCCTCACTGCCTTGTGAGTGATGTTGGATCATTAAAGGCTAGGTCCACCGCTTATAACTGTGGTTGCATAAGGAAGGGCGTCCTGCGTAAAAATTAGCCAAATAAATTACTTATGATGACAGAAGTGACAATGGTTTCATCATAGGTAGCCAAACGGCAACCCCCGATCTCGTGGAAAATGTCGTCTAAACGTGTGTTGTTTGTTGTTGTATTTTATAATTAGCAGTAGCACCATGTAATATGCATATTTTATGCTGTGAGACAATGCACTAGACAGCAGAAGAAACCTCACAGATCTATAAATATGATTTTAATTCTAATGTCAATATTCAAAACATATTGAAAGCAAGCAAATGCCGTTTCTTCAAATTACATTTTAAGTATGATAGTTATTAACATTTTTCACACATTATTATTTTTTTTCAAACAAGTTTATTTCATGAACGAACAGAAAAACAAAACATGAAAAAGGGCCCTAAAAAAGATAAAATCTCAAATATATAAGAACCCTAAAATTTTTTATAAAAATGTCTAAATCAATACAAAAAATCAAATTAGTGACAAACAACACCACGTCACTCCCGAAAACCATGAAACAAAAATAAATAAAATTAAAATAATGTACTTTGTAAAAGCAATATGCACATATACACAATTACATATACGCATATGTTCTCTGGTTAAAATCATTATGCTATTCTCTGGTTAAAATCATTATGCTATTCATTGTTCGAATAGAATTAAAATCAAATTAATTAAAATTAATATTAAATTAAAATTAAGGAAAATAATAATAAATATAATAACAAAACACAACTAAGATCATGATTGTTGAAATACAGGAAAAATGTACATACAAAAATTCTTACGTAAATACACACATTTAAATTATAGATCAATTTTTAAGAAAAAATTAAAATGATCGATAGTGTAAAAGAAACTGACAATAGAAATCTTTAACTTATATTTGAATGGGCGATAGATCATGCACGACCTAACAAAGGACGGCAGTCTATTCCACTTATAAATTCCATAAAAACATACGTTTCTAACAGCTTACTTTTTATAACGGAAACTTTTAATCTATTTTCGCAGTTCAATCGCGTATTTCTTATTATCGTGTCATTTAAAAGAATCATTTAGATGCGCGTCTGATGTTCTCTACAAATTATTGTTAATTTAAAATTTTAAACAGCATGCCTTAAAATCATTAATTTCAAAAATTGATAAAATTTGAAGCTGATTAAACAAGTTTTTTTTGTCCACATTTTGTCTAAAATTTAAAATTGTCAATGCTTTTTTTGTGCAATATAAAGCAATTCTAAATAAGTTTTAAATGTGTTGCCTCATATTAGGTTTGCATAATATAAATGTGGGTAGATAAAGGCATAATGCATTGTTTGGTAGAGGATATTTGACTATGTTCATAACTCCTAAATTTCTATTAATTTTTTTGTAAGATAAAATCGATATGTTTTTTAAAATTTAGATTTTGATCTGTTAAAACCCCTAATAATTTAAAGCAATCCACTCTTTCAATTTCAGAATTACCTATCTTTAAAAAAAGTTTATCATCTTTAATAAGTGATCTATTAAAGATCATATATTTAGTTTTTTTATATTTATATTAATCTTATTGAAATTTGACCAGGTATTTAATTCATTTTTCACACATCAATTTTATAATGTATTGGACTAACGAGTCTAGAACATGTTTCACAAAACTTGCCTTTTTTCGTCACACTCACATGGACACAGATGAAAACTTCCTTTTTACTTTTGTGTCCTTTTTACTTTAGCTGGTCTCGCTTTTTTAAATGTCCAGCTCTAGAAGTTGGATTGCATCTATGATTGGTGTCGTGAGCCGAATTGAATTGTCCAACTTTTTTCAAATTCATTGGTGGCTGATTACATTATTTGAATAGATCTGATCATTGTTCAAACAAATTATTGGCTAGCCTCATGAGTTGTGAAATGGGGTTAGGCGGCGCTTGTGGAAATTTTTCAGATGTCTCTTTTCATGCCAAGGTTTGGATGACCAACTCTGTCGACACATCGCCACATTGTGTTGGTGATTTCAATTGGTCCTAAATGGTAAATCAAATGAGCAAATAATTAATAAGAAACATAAAATAATTAGGATATTAATTCGTGTCTCCAAGCAGTAAACATAAAAATGAAAAATTAATCATAACTAAAATACAAAAATTAATTGGCTATTATACTTTATGAGCGACCAATAAAATAAATCTTCAAAATTTTAATGAACTTAAAATAATTATCCATTTCTTTCAAGTAATCCATTATAGGTTGGACTTTTTTGTTCAAAAATAAAAATAAAAAAAAGTTCAACCCAGAGGGTTCAGTCCATTTCCTAGAGAGATTGATAATTTACTAATTATTTGTTCAATATGTATTATAATTAGGGATGCACCGAAGTTCGGCTCCGGCCCCGGCCAAAATCCGGCTTTTTTTTCAAATCCGGTCGAATCCGGTCCCGGCCGGATTTAGGGCCGAATTTAAGCGTCTATCTATTTTAAAAATGTTATAAATAGAGAAAAAAATTTTATTGAATTCAATTAATTTTATGTCAATAAGTTAAAGGCTAAGGCTAAGCTAAAGGCATACATGACACATAATAACAACATCACTAATTGTGAGGTAATCTGGACAATTTTCTTTATGTTATAACATGGGTTATGCATAAATTATAAGCTGATCTTTGTGTAAAAGAACTTGTGCACGTGTATATACTATATATTGATAATTGCACATGACGGATCATATAGCTACATAATATATATATATATATGTCTTTTGGTAATAGACCATAATTTTTACAATATTCTATAAATTCTACCGAATGTTTGGCGTTAATATGTTTGTATTTGTTTGTCTGTAAGGATGTGGTGGCTAAGATTGATGAATCTATCTTTTATAATATTGTTATTTCCTTTAGTTATCAGGTTGGTCAGTTTTATTATATTAACAAACATATTAACGCCAAACATTCGGTAGAATTTATAGAATATTGTAAATATATATCTTTATATATATATATATAAATATATATAAAGATATATATCTATATATATATATATATATATTGAGAGAGAGAGATACATAAGCACATAATTTAAGAACATGATATGTTAAAGGTTAGGCTAGGTATATATGACACATAATTACAACATCACTAATTGTGCGGTGAGCTGGACAATTTTTTTTGTGCTTTAACTTGGGTTATGCAAATATGCATAAATTATAAGCTGATCTTTGTGTACAGAATTTGGCGTATCACACAGCTTATTCATATATTTGAATTAATTAGCTATTTGCTTGGTGTTATTTTTTGATGTTCAACATGTAGATAACCGTAAATGTGAGTATTTTTTTAACGCATGTAAAATAGTAACTAAAATCCAGCCCCGGCCCCGGCCGGTTTTTGAATTTTAAATCCGGCCAAGTCCGGCCCCGGCCGGATATGAAAAACCTGAATCCAGTGCATCCCTAATTATAATTTAAAGTTGAGTTTGTCATCAAAGATTACACCAAATATTTTAAAACTCTCATTTTTTCCTAATTTAAATTCATTTAATTTTAGAGTAGGTTGGTTAGAGTCTAATTTCTTTTTATTATTTTGTTTACTATAAAAAATCATGTATTTGTCTCAAATAGGTTGATACACAGTTTATTTGAAACTGGCCTGCAATTTAATTTAATCAATAGCTATTCTGATTTTTGTGACGGTGTTAACATATTTCTATCGGCAGAATAGAAAGAACAAACGTCTGCATACATAATTTATTTTGTGAAATCATCACAAATGTTCACGATATTATAAAAAAACAAGATATAAAGTAGCGGACCAATAATGCTCCCCTGGGGGACTCTACTTGGGATAGGCAGACACTCAGAAAGGCCTTCCCCCATAAAGAGGACAAATTAAGATCTGCCATCCAACCAAGCTCCCTGCCTCATCACCGTCTAATTTTTTGTTGCTGTCAATTAATTTTTTGGCAAGGGTTGTTTCAAAATTTTCATCTGTAGCTACGGCAACATTTATTGTCTGAACATGTTGTGGGGTCTCTTCAGCGTGAGGATTTTTTTTGGGGTCTCGTTTCGGCTCCATCTGGGTTTCCTTTACTAGTGCTAGTGATATATAATTAATAACATTGACAATTGCAAACTCAGTTGACAATTTATCGCGAAAGCCATATAGATTTAAAAAGATTACATTACATTACTAGGATTGAGGAATTTGTTAAAACGATTTAAGATTATCTTTTCCATTAGTTTAGATATACTAAAAAGAATTGAAATAGGACGGTAGTTGTAATAGAATTGCGAACCCCTGTTTTAAATAAAGGTAAAATTTAGGAATAATAACCCAAAAAATGTAAAAGATTAATAAACTGAGTAGAAGAATGCTTATAATCATCAGTTAATAAGTTAATGTTAAAATCCCCAGTGATATAAACATTAGTAAACGAACCAGGGTTGAATTTAAGAAATAGAGTGATTAAATCATTAAAAAATAAAGATGTGTCAACACGAGGCGGACGGTATAAAACGATAATCAAATAGTTAATGTTTACACTTATAAAAATCTCGACAATTAAATGTTCAAAAGAAGAAAAATGAAAATACAAATCATCCTGCATCACATACTTTAAGCCATCTCTAACAAATAAACCAACACCACTACCAATATTGCCAATACGATTCACACATAAAAATTTGAAACCTGATAGATTAATCAAAACAGAGGTAGCATCATTCAACCAAGTCTCAGTGACAGCCACCAAATCAAACCCACCACCCCATAAATCAATCAAAATACTCAATTCAGTTGTTTTATTTAGTAGACTACGACATTTAGCATGAAAAATACTAACATTATATAAATCAATGAATGAATTAACATTACCAGGCGATAAAAAAGTACATTCAAAGGAAATATCGGAGAAAATATTAACATCGGGGTCGACACTAGCAAACTGACAAGGATTATCATTATGAAAAAAACAAATTGGTTCCCAGGGGGACGTTGCTTCCACCATGATTAGTAGTCATAGTGTTTTGCGAAAATAATCCGCTTGGACCTATCTTTGATTTGGAGTAAAAAAAGCATATTTAGGCCAGATATCGGGGTTTAATAACTTAGGTAAATCATCAACTGGCAAAACTATTTTGAACGCAGTTGATTCCGTGTTAACGTCAATCGTCTGGATTTTTCTTTCGCAAAATTGGGAAACAGCTGATGATAGCAAAGTTTTTTTGACTTCAAATTACATTTCAATGACATTTTTTTTGCATGGGCCCACGTTGCCTACATAATATGTATTTTTTTGATGATAACTTTTGAAGCCTTGAATGGGCAATCAAGTCCTGTACCGAAGATTTTCTTTGACGAAATTTTGGAACCGTTATTGGTATTGGGCGATTGGCCAACATGTTTGGACTTAGGTGAGCTAGCAGACTTTTTCTGCCTTTTGTTTGTAACCAGTTTAAAGTCATTGCCGGCTGCATCATGCGATTCACACCGGGAATCCACAGCAGACGAATCGTAACGATCACCCCAACGTTATGTCGTAGGAGTAGGATTTGTAATAATTTTTTACTCATTAACAGTATTACTAATTTTTTTATCATTAGCATTTGAGGGCATAATAGTAGTAACCTTAATATTATTAGCATTTGAAGGCATATTAGTAGGTCGACCAATTGCAGTTAAATTAGTCAAATGAACCTTAGCATAATTCATTGTACCGCTACACGTTATGGGAAATGTTGAACATTGCACTGTTTGAAACAATGGAGTGTTCACTATCCAAAATAGATTTGCTGTTGACATTTAAAGTTTCCATTAAAGTGACAAACTGGTTTTCAAACATTGACTTAATATCCTCCCTTATTAGTTGAAAATTACAATTTATCCAATTATCCTTAGCATAATTCATTGTACTGCTAACACGTTATGGGAAATGTTGAACATTGCACTGTTTGAAACAATGGAGTGTACACCATCCAAAATAGATTTGCTGTTGACATTTAAAGTTTCCATTAAAGTGACAAACTGGTGCCTTATGCCTTGCTCGTCGAATTGAGGATCTATTGATGGCAAGGTTTCCAGCATTTAAGCCAAGGTGTTTGGCAACTCCACTGATGATGTACGTCGCCTTTCTATCAGAAGTCTTCGTTCGATCAAGTGCTGCAGCAGTTTCCCTGCTAACTGCACAATGTGGACGGGACATCGAGAAGCTTTGCCTACTTCGTTTTACCTGCACACGTTTGGCAATGTTGTCTTCTTCTGATTCACATTCTGACGATGATACACTGGAACTGTGCTCTATTTCAGTGCTTCTCGAACTTTTTGGTTCGGCGGACCGGCAACGAATTTAACAGGAACGTCGCGGACCGCCACCCATCTTGCGGAATATATATATATATATATATATATATATATATGCGAAGTGTTATCAATTTTACAAAAAATTTGAATCTTTTTTTTGTATAACTTTATTCAAAATGAAATAACAATAAAAAATATTTTGACATTAGAAAATAAAAATTGTTGTAAAAAATTAGCGAGATGAATGAGCTTGTTTTCTATTTATTAATTCCTCAAGACGTGGCTGAAACGAAGACAGTGCCACACGTAGCGGAGAACAAACTTCCAAACAGTTTCTGTATTTTGTTTTCATTGCAGTCAAACATGAAAATCCAACTTCGCATAAATAAGTAGAAGGGAAAGGAAGAAGGGTTTTTATTGCTTCGTCAGTGAGCTCTGGGTATTCCGACTTGATGCTGATCCAGAAAGCGGAAAGAGATGATGTATTTTCAAACTTCATTTTTAAGCCTTGGTCAGCAGCAAGCTCCAAAATTTTATCTTCCAACTTAACAGTCAAATTTTCCTTATGTTCAACAAAAGGATTTCTGATCCATGTCTTTCCTATTCGTGGGTCATCCTCCGTAGGAAAATAAAATTCAAACCGTTCAGATAAGCTGGACAGATGCTCAATGATTAAGGTTTTCAAACTTTTGATGTTAAATCCTTTGCCTGCTTCATCAATGACTGTAGCTAAATTAAAAAACATTTCGAAACATTCTTTTTCCAATCTTTTTATCCAAGATTTTAGCTTTCTTTTTTGTCCTTCAATTTTATCAGCCATCGTGAAAACAGTCGTCATTTTCCCTTGGATTGAAATAATGAGATCATTTAATAATGCAAATATGTCTGACACATAAGCCAATTTTGCGAGCCAATTGATATTCATAAGTAAATCTGACCAGATGGGCTTTTTAACCTGCAGAAACTCTGCTAGTTCATTTTTTAATTCAAATACTCTTGCGAGAACCTTTCCTCTGGATAACCAACGCACTTCAGTGTGTAGCAATAGATGTTTATGATCAGCCCCCATTTCTTCACATAATCTGGCAAAAAGTCTTGAATTTAGTGCATTTGCTTTCACATAATTTACTATTTTGACTACTTCGCTGAGCACATTATTCAGTTCATCTGACATTTTCTTCACTGCCAAACTTTCTCGGTGAATGCAACAATGTGTTGCTTTACACTCCGGTGCTATTGCTTTAATTTTAGTTACAACACCAGAATAACGTCCAGTCATTGCTGCAGCACCATCTGAACAGACACCAACACAATATTTGAAATCTATTCCTTTACCAATGATATATTCACTGACAGTTTTGAATACTTCAGAACTTGTTGTATTTGTTGGGAGTGATGCTGAAAAGAAAAATTCCTCCTTTAAATCTCCTTCGTATTCAAAACGAACATAAACTAACAAAATAGCCATATTGGCCACATCTGTGCTTTCATCCAGCTGCAAAGAATAATACTTTGCAAGTTTCATTTGTTCAACTAGCTGCTCTTCAATGTCGCCATATCGCTAATGCGTCGACCAATAGTACTGTTTGAAAGTGGCACCTGGTCTATTTTTTTTGAAGCCTGCTCACCCAGCATCTCAAAACAGACATCTTTGATGCAATCTTTTATTAACGTTTCACCAATTGTGAATGCCTTTTTCGCTTTGGCAATTCGCAGAGCTATTTTATATGAAGCTCGTAGCGCACACGTGATTATATGGGAAATACGAAACATTTGTTTTTGGCGACTCTTCAGATCAATGCGTTTTCTCTCAAAATATTCTTTTGGTTTTGTGCAAATGTCTTTGTGTTTGGGATTTAACTCTCTTTTTAGTTTTGATGGCTTCATTGCTTCGTTCGACAATACCTCGCTGCAAATAACGCACTGCGGTTTCAACTCTGTTCCATCGTCCATTGGCATGAAGCCAAATTGAATGTATGATTCATCGTACTTTCGAATGAAGCTAGTTCTAATACGTTTTGTTGCACACGTTTCAACACCAATTGCCTTTACGATGCCATTTTCATTGTCTGAAACTGAAGAATCGTCACTGCTTTCATATATCAAATTCTTTTCCTGACGTTTCCTTTTCAAAAATTTGTCTATCGGGCCTTGTTTCGCTATGCCTAAAGTAGTTATTTTTGAATAAAATAAACTTTTACTTTCAAGAAAACAAATTAGCGGTCTTGATAACATCAAAATAAAATAAAAATATTAAAAAAAATCTGAACCAACCTGACAACAGTTCTAGCAACTTTATATATTAATTTGAATAAAATTTAATAAATTGCAAAATGAGTTATTCAATTTATATATAAATTTCAAAATTACAAATATATTTTAATTTAGCAATAACGTTGTTAACTCCTAGTTTTACCGGGTTTTTATCAATTTTACTCTGAACATGTGCAAATAGCTGATAAAGAAAGATTGAATATTTAAGCTGGATCCGATAGTTAACTGGTCACGCGTCCTTTCGCGTTATCACATTGAATATTAATTATAGTCATGCATATGCATTCGTGAACTTGCTTACTTTTAAACTCATCTACTAGTAATAACAATGACTTTCGCAATTGCGTTGCTGTCCAAGCTATGAATTTTCTGATTAATTTTCAAAATTTTTTGAACCGGACCGGCAGCTATTGGTCCGCGGACCGGCGCCGGTCCGCGGACCACCACTTTGAGAAGCACTGATCTACACCACTCATATAACCACGCCGTCCCGGTTCCCTTTGTGCCAGCAAAAATTCTCTGTCTTCTTGTATCTGAATCAGTTCAATAGCATTAGCATGTGCTATATCAAACAGATCTTTTCGTGAATGAACGAATGCTTGTTCTTGACGTTTTTGAGCATCTGAGTTTCTCTTAGAATGTTTCTTTAATCCTTGCCACAGTTTAAACATATCATCCAGCTTCTTAATGGCGTTGTATTCTTGAGTTGTAGGAATTATGGACCGTTGCCATATTGGAAGTACCTCTCTTATAACAGCAGTCTCACTATCGCGAACTGTCATTTTCTCTGACAAATGAATGTACAGAAAGCGACGCATCACTTCACCTTTCGCTGGTAACTTGTTACCCAGAATGGCAGTTTTTAGAGGCTGGCCTAGAAGATAAATATCCTGCTTCTTTCTTGTTGACTCAGCCATGTTGTTTACTTTTTCAGACAAAGATCTGTTAATAAAAAACAAAGACGTTGTATTAGCAATTTGGATTAATTATTAGGCCCATAAGGGAAAACTTCAGAGCCATTGGGCGACCTCTAAATATTGACCAATTGATCTAAGATTTTACTCCAAGTATTACCTAATGGGTGGTAACAAAATTAGGGGGTAAGACAAAAAATTTAAAACTTTTTCATTTTGGGGACCACCCTAATATATATATATATATATATATATATATATATATATATATATATATACACTACACACTCATATATATATATATATAGGTTATAACGAAAAATTACATTTGCCATTATTATATTGCATTTGGTACTGAATAAATGTATACAACCGTCGGTTGATGCATTTTATGAAAAGTAACTTTGCAGTGTAAAACAGATTTGGCCACTAAATTATTTATTTAGTTATTACATAAATAGGTAATTTATATTCTAATTTATTCAAATAGACAAAATCGATAACTTGAAATATTCCCTGTATTTCGGCGTCCTTGGTGTTACCATGAGGAACAAGTTTCAATTTTTTACTTTCCAGCAGGCTTTCAACAAGACTAATTAAAGATTTTTTTGAATTAACTAATTCTTTGACTGAGTAGAGTTGTTTTATGTTTTCCAACACTTTCAAATTTTCAGCTTCTACTCAGAAATTAAACAGAAAGCACAATAAATCATCAGCATGTATTGTCCGTGCAGCCATTTTTCAAAATTTTTTGTCCGCTTTTTCCGTATAAGCAACAAAATTTACAAAATTTTCCCTAATTAAGGAAGCTCTATCTTCTGAAAAATGGGATTCAATAACGGATGAGAGTAACTTCAGGAGTCCCGCAAGGATCAATCTTAGGCCCACTTCTATTTATAATTTTTATGAATGATTTTCATCTGGCTACTGACGCTCATCATTTTCTGTATGCAGAAGATACTAACATTTTCTTCCCAACTAGCAATCCATCAAACGATGTAGAGATAATTAATAAAAGTTTAGATGATGTTTCAAACTGGTTCATCAATAATAAACTAATTGTAAATTTTTCTATATGCAACTACATTCTATTCGGTTCAAAAATATTGACTAACACGATACTTATTTAGATATACAAATTAATAACCATAGCATCCCACGCACATCCAGCACAAAATTTCTCGGAGTGATAATCAAGGACAAATTCTCGTGGGATATGCATACAGACTCGTTATCGAAAAAAATTAATAAAACCATAGGTGCAATTAATAAAATTAAAGTAAGATTGAATAAACCAACAATTATAGATTTGTATTATTCATTAATCTATCCAAATCTAATATACTGCAACATCATCTGGGGAAACAGCCCTGAAGTTCACTTGAAGCAAATTACCAGATGTCAAAATCGTTTCATCAGAATTCTATTAAATCTACATCCATATAGTCTTGTCAGCTGTTATTATCCTGAGCTGAAAATTCTAAACATAAAAAATTTGTATAATTATCATGTTTCTATCTTTGTGTTCAAGTTCCTACATTATCTATTACCAACATCTTTTAATGACTTCTTCGAATTTGGAAATGCTGTGCAGTCAAAGTTCACTCGACATTCTCCTCTGCTCTATACACCACCTGCAAGAATAACACTGCTTGGTGGAAGTTTAAAACATACAGGTCCCGGAATCTGAGAGAAACTTCCTGTTGATATAAAGACTACAAATTCCTTGCATTTTTTTAAAAACAAAATAAAGAAATATTTATTGAAAAAAAGTACAATTTTTGTTTAATTAGAATCATGTAAATTGTGCATTATGTTAATTTTGTCATGAATTATAAATTTACTTGAAAAATCGTGCTAAAATGAACAATTTGTGAACGGTGGCCTGCGACACAAGAATTTTGTTTTCTTTTAGCTTTGGTCTCCTAATTATTACCTAATTATTATTAATTTGGATTGATTGAATAAAATTTGATTTGATTATTTTGTTTTTTTCTTGTATTGCTTGTTATAAATGAAGAAATTAAACATTGTTTGAAAATATATTTTGGCTTTGAAACTTTAACGTTTGATCTGATGACATTTTTAATCTGCAGTGGTGGCGATCTACAGCTACAAGCAGGACAAAGATGACGAGTTGACCTTCGATGAAGGTTCAGTCATCTACGTGGTCAAGAAGAATGATGACGGCTGGTGGGAGGGTGTCATGGATGGACAAACTGGACTCTTTCCTGGTAACTATGTCGAACCATGCATATGAGCAGTTTATGGTCATGATGGTGGTGATGATGATGAAGGCAAAAGATGTGATCACGATAATGATGATGATAAACAGAGGTGGATGCTTATTTGCGTATGATAAAGTCTGTTGTGATGATAAAAACGAAAGAAAAATTGATAGTAATTATGAAGAGATGATGTTGATAATAAAGTGAAAAAGATGGGTAGTGATGGTGATGTTGATGGGGATGATGATGATGATGATGTTCTCGTGAGTTCAGTTACTCCGTTCTTTTTATGTCCATTTTAACAAAATGTTTCGGTACCAAGTGTTTTATTTATTAATTAAAATTTGTTTATTGAAGAGTTTGCTTTTTAAAATCGCAAGTAGTCTGAATTACCATAACGGTAACGGGTTGACATCAACCTTTTATAAATTATGTTGTTGGTTCGTTATAGTAAATGTTTATATATATATATATATATATATATATATATATATATATATATATATATATACATACATACATACATACATACATACATATACATATGTATGTGTGTAACCACTGTGTCTAACCGTTATTCTTCAACATGCGTGTATATAGTCGTACATGAAGTTCAATTTTGGAGAAATATTTTGTGTTGTTTGTTAAAATTTTCAACAAAATGAATATTATTAACCCCTCAATTGAAAATCATGCATGGCTCTGTACAGTATTTTATTTTAATTTTTTTTCTCTTCTAATTATGTATGATGTTTTTCCTCTTTTTTTGCATTTATCAAGTTGAGAGCTAGTTTTACCGTTTAAAAATGTATGTAAAATTTTTTTTCAATTACGGTTATTGATTTACATAGAATGCTATTGTTTGCGTAATGAATAATTATTATTAATCGTTACGCTTGTTGTCAGCGTTGGAATGCTAATGCACTTGCACATGCATTATGAACCACTGTTGTGCTACCGAAGACTTATTCTCTTCGTTCATTTATCTAATAATAATTTTTTTATGTTTTTCATTCAGTCAATCTTCCATATATTTGTTCATGCATGCATTCATTCATTCATTCACTCATTCATTCATTTATTATTTCATTCAATCAATTACGCACATGTTCTTTGTTATTGGTGTGTGTGTTTGTTTGTGTGTGTGTCTGTCTATTTGTGTGTGTATGTGTGTGTGTGTTGTGTGTATTTCCTGTTGCGTATGATTGCATGATTGCTTGGATCGTTTTGTTTGGAAATTTATTTTATTGATCATTTAAATCTTTGCATGCGAAATTATAACTGCATCTTCATGTTAACTGTCACCCTAAACAATTGTAGTTAATTTTTGGAGTTTATTTGCTCATCAGCAGACGATCGTGAATGAAAAACATGAAACTACAATTTCAACTTGTGTATTTTTTGATAATTAGATCTTCAATTATATATATATATATATATATATATATATATATATATATATATATATATATATATATATATATATTGGATTAAGACTGTCAGAAATGCTATTATTGATGAAAATCACAGCATGATCTATATATATATATATATATATATATATATATATATATATATATATATATATATATTT